AGTCCCTAAGGGCACTCCATAGATGATAACCAACAAGCACAAATAACATACAGTGCTACAGGTTATTACCAGAAAGCAACAGAATCCATACTAGGAGACAGATCTAACTGATCACGACAGCATATCGGCATACTCAATACCAGAACATAGATCTAGCATATCACCACATCATAACAATATACTCAATACCATAATATAGATCTAATAGATCACTACAACATAACAACATACTGAATACCAGAACGCAGATCTAATATATCACTATAGCATAGCATCATACTAAATATCAACATTCCAAGGAATGCATAACAATATATACTTAGAGGTGAGATAGTCACCCGGACATATGATCCTACTCTAGAATCACAACCAAACAAGGAACAGGTAAGAGAGCTTAGATCAAGATTCCTCAGTCTATCCTACATGACTATACATAATCCCTAGGGCATCCCTCTACTAATAGATAACAAAAACTAGTGGGCCGATATTGGTGGCTTCGACCCATGGGTACAGTGAGGCGAAACTCACATCGATGTGCATGCAGAAACCACTATAGCAATGAAGGACTCTACCAGCTTCAACTCACTTCCAATCACCTACAGGAAGATACTTGACTCAATACTCGATAACATGTCAGTCACATGCAACAGTGACCACTTCACATGAAATGACAATTTGGGTTTCACATGAAATTATGATTAGGGTTTCACATGACATGACGACTAGGGTTTCACATGAAATGACGATTAGGATTTTACATGAAATGACGATTTGGGTTTCGCATGAAATGACGATTAGGGTTAAGTAAGAACACTTAACCCATTAAGGACTTAATCACTAAAGAGTATGATTGATTAAGGTTGACTTAGTCGTTTTCGGATGAAATAATAATCCAGTCAACAGCCCAAAATATGCGCTCGATTATTCCCCAAAAGAAATCTCCTCAGTTCTAGGGTTTTTACATAAAACGATAACTAGGATTAGTGTTCCCCACTTAACCCATTAAGGACATAATCCATTAAGTCCAATATTGCTTCAAGTAAATTGTGGAGAATTATTAAGTATTATTTTAGGTTTAGTTAATAGTTTTAATGCGGGTCCCGACAAACTCCAAAATTAGGGTTTCTCTATATTAGGGTTTTCTAAACCCTAGTTAGGGTTTCTAACCCCTAAAGTTAAATAATTATCTAATTAAATAAATATTTAATTAATAAATTGGGCACCACCCACTTCCACCTCGCGTAAATCGGTCCACACGACGACTGTTTGAGTAATAATTCCAAAAATACAACACATAAACAATTTATTACCACACACACACACACACACTAGTACCAAAAGAATAAGAAAAAGCCCAATACAACCACCAAAATGGTGGTCGGCAGTACCAGGAGGTGGCAGTCACCACCTCATGGTGGTGGTGGTTTTTCTTTAGTTTTCGGCTAAGCAACATCCAAAACACATTCAACTATAATAAACACACACATAAGCACCATTTTAAACACATAGCCACCACCACATGGTGGCTGGTGGTGGCTGGAAAAGGAAACAATGGCAATAGCCACCATGGTTGGCGGCCATGGTGGTTCTCTTCGACTTTCGGCTAACCAAGGTACACCCACACGCCGACACATACTGAAACACACACATACATGTGCAGAAACACCCACTGAGCAGCTCTACATTGAACTTGAAGGAGGAGGATGACAGAGGGACGATGGATGTGAAAACCCGAAATCTCCATTCTGTACAAACTATATCACTTCAATAGAAGTTACAGCAGTCACAGTTAATTTTCAGACTTTTTCGTGTAAGTTTGAGTAATTCAGGGTTTACACTTCAGGAAATATCAGGAGAGTGGGTGCACTAGGGTTTTGTGCAACACTGTTATTGCAACACTCTATTATATTAGAGATCATTTCTGGAATAACAATATTTTCTGCCAAAAATATCTCAAGACTATAAATAGAATTCTGAAACAAATTTATTCATTATTCACATTTCCAACTAGAGAAAAGCCATTTTCTCTCTCACGGATCTTCGGGCTTTTATCCTAAAATGTGAGTAACTCTTTCTAGTAAAGTTAGAAAGCTTTATATGTGTTTATATCATGATTTAGAAGGCTAAATCACTAAATTTAGGAGTTTACTCCCCAAGGTGTTCTTGGGCGGTAAACTCCCGAAACGAAGCCAAAACCGACCCTTGATTTATGCAACTGCCTTAGACTCATATGTATGTGTGTTAGGGACAAGAAAACAACCATAAATTACCCAAGTTTGGGGAGTTCACGACCCAAGTGTTTCTTAGGCCGTAAACTCCCTTTTTGGGGTCAAAATGGTGTTTTAAGGCCACAAAAGCTTCAAGACTTTTAACAAGGCTAGTTCCCATTTAATCTAAGGCCTTAAACACATCAAACAACACAAACAAATGTGAGTTTACAGCCCAAGTGTATCTTAAGCCGTAAACTCCATAGAAATGGACAAAAACGGGTGTTTTAAGACACCTAAAGCCCTAGACCTTTACAAGAAATTGTTACCCACTTAATGGAGGGACCAAACCACATCAAAATCACTTAACAAAGTGAGTTTATGGCCAAGACATGGTTCTTGGGCCGTAAACTCCTAAAAAGGGCACCAAGGTGTGCCTAATGCCTTCATATGCTAGGAATAAAAGTCTAGAACATATACCACAAGTGCAAGAGGCTTGAAAGCAACAAAAACACCCTATACTTAGAGTTTACGGCCGTAAACTCTAAGGGAAATAGCCTTAGGGCCGTAAACTCCTATTTGGAGTATTTCTAGACCTTAAAACCTTCCAAGGATTTAGCCAGCAAGTTAAAATAATTCTAGAAAGCATTTGGGACTTCAAAACACACCAAACACACATGTTTGGGAGTTTACGGCCGTAAACTCAAGGGTTTACAACCGTAAACTCCATGTGTGTTGGTATATGAGGAGTAAACTCATATATGGGATCCTTTGGACCCCTAAACACAAGTACCTTGTCCCATAATGGTTTAGATGCAATCCTTAGGGCTTAAAACACTTATATAAAGTGTTTATTATGCCTAGGATGTCTTAACATTATCAATTAGTGATTTAAGACTAATTGAATGCATATATGTGTGTGATTATATGTTCATTAGGATCGTAGTGTGTGTACAAGTCCTCGCTTGGCAGCTAGGAAATCCTACACCGTTCAATTCATTCCAATCACCAACTACAGGTGAGTTCATACCCCTAATCAATGTTTTAAAGGATTTTAAATGCTTTAATTGGGGGGAATACAAGTAGAAACAAACATGTTATTAAATCATTGATTTGTATTTTATAACTGAGTTTGTCATTTAACAGATTTCACATACTACAAAATGTGATGCATGAAATGGTTTTAAATCTTAAAAACACATTGTTATCAAATGTTTTACCTTTGAAATGTATATTAAAATGACCTCAGGTCATTGTTAATCCTTGTTCAAAACCTATAAGATGTCTTACAAAACCATTTTACATTCTTGAACTAAACTATGCATATACACTTATATTCTTATATATGTATCGATGTTATAGTTTACAGCTTTCATTTTGTTTCCACACCCTTGAGTAGTAAGAGTGTATAAACCTACATGAGTTACTAATTATAGTTCAGTAAATTATCATATGGATAATTTGAGGATATCAAACATTACTCCTATTACAAGGAATCATACAAGAGTCAGTTCATTCATGAGTCTATACTAGTACATTACCTGATACATGAGTACTTACAGATGTTTACGTGATACATGAATATGTTTACACATATTTACCTATTACATGGACACACTTACATGAATTCCATACATGAACACTTTTACATAGGTGCATTATCCTGTATTCACTTACCTAGATACGTGTACTTAGTACTACAAGGATGATTTATTAGTATTTATTGAGTAAATTGTCTTTCCTATCCCGGTTCAATGGGATATCTCGGCGGGACTTACCATTCCGAACCCCACTGATTAGCACCAGTGGTCGATGACCATCTACGGAGGTCTAAGGTTATCACTATTTAGTAGTCAGTGATGGGACTAACCATCCCTCCGTCCATCTGTTACAACAGTGGATGAGATGTGAATCTTCGGAGGATCATTAGGTTAACGATCTATATTAGGAGGTCGACATCGGGACTAACCCTCCCTTCCATCCTGTTGCAGCTACAGAGGATGAGATGAAAATCTTCGGATGTTCATTAGGTTGCATTTTTCGCTCAACGCGATGTTGTGTTGGTCCTAGTACCCAGTGACAACACTTACAGTAGTACATTTTCCTGTTTACTTTTATTTTGTGATACTTTCACATAAACGATGAGTTAGACTAAGTACTTTAGTACTAGTCAATATAAGGAAAAACTATCATTTTACTAACAAAACATTCGGGTCTTGGTAGAAGACTACATTGTCATAACAAAACATTCGGGTCTTGGTAGAAGACTACATTGTCATAACAAAACATTCGGGTCTTGGTAGAAGACTACATTGTCATAACAAAACATGTCGAGTCTTGGTAGAAGACTACATCTCACACTGATAGAAAATAAGGGATTTTCTAGGGCATTTCATACTTACATCAACATTTACATTTAAAGGTTTGCATAACTTTTAAAACAGCTTTTCAAAGCAAGACAATGACACTTAAATACTTATGAATTCACCAGCTTTAAAGCTGATACTCTCTTTCAAAATAACTTGTATTCTCAGGTCATCAGTAGACAGGTATGGTGGCCATGTTTTGAGAAGACGGAGCAGACAAGTCTCGTCTTTTATTTTGATTGTATATTTTTGGTGTCTTATTACAATGAAAGAACACACATGTATTAAAACTTTACTTATAATGCAATGGATGATGTTGTTGCTTGTTTATTATATTACACTGTTGTGATACTGTACATGACGTCCTCCACCCCTGAACGTTTCCGCCATTCGTGGTTTTGGGGTATGACAATGGAAGAGTGGTAGCATGAAACAACGGAAGTGGCGGCGAACGCAATCCAAACCCGGTACCGACGATGATGAAACAGCAGCAAAAAGGAATGGAGAAGGCAGATTTGCACGACCTTTACCGGAACAGAAGTAACAACGACCCTCAACTTTGCTCCTTTGGTCTCTGAGAGACGCAATGTCGTCTCACGGATTTCATCGATCTTCGATATCACTGACAGCAAAGGTTCATCGGGTCATGGCTGATCGGAAAAACAAGAAGGTGTGGTGGTAGCAGCTGGAGACAAGATGTGACAGCTGAAAAATGGTCCTAGGGTTAGGGTTGTTTGAAGCTACGATTTGAAATGGATGCCAAGAAGAAAGGTGACGGGTTATAACCCTATTCAAATACAACTTAACCCCAAAATTCACTTTCGGTCCCTCCCTCTTAATTTCTTCTCAACTTAGGTCCATAATTTACCAAATGGCCCCCAACTTCCAAAATTCATTATAATTCAAGTCCCAATGTTACAATATGGACCAAAAATTCTGGAATTTATCACATTTAACTCCTTATCGCTAACATTGATAAATTAATAAGGATTTAGGGCTAAAATAAAATAAAATATAAAATACATCTCATGGTTTTAGAGCTTATTTATTTATTTAAATTTATCCATTATTATTATTATTTATCTATTTACTTATTCTATTTTATTTATTTATTTTTAACAGAATGTTACACATTCCACGTGTCTCAGCAACATCAGAAGTGTGTGGCTGATGAGTCCGCAACTGTTCCTCTGGATGATATTCATGTCAATGACCGCCTGAATTATGTGGAGAGACCGGTGACGATCCTAGATCGGAAGACGAAAGGCTCTGCATAACAGAAAATTGTCACTAGTCAAGGTCCGGTAGCAACATCGGAAGGGTTACAAATGGATATGAGAGCCCGAGGCGGAGTGCTAGAGCACTACCATGATTTGTTCACGGCAACGGACTTCGATGACAAAGTATAGTTCAAGTAGGGGAGAGTTATAACATCTAATTTTATAGGTATTTGATTTTAACCCTTAAGTTATGAATTTTTTGCAAGATGGGTCCCCAATGGCAATTTCATGATTTTTGGGTGCAGGTTGGGTACGCCGAGTGTACCTAGTCCCACGCCAGTACGCGGCGCATACATGGTTTAGACAAAAACCCTAATATTTAGGGTTTGTGCGCTATTTAAGCACCATTATAGCCCCAAGACCTTCCCCTTTATCAGCTTCCATCCCAAGATCGACCCTCCTTGCAACCCTTTGTTTATTTTGAGCATTTTGAGCTTTTGGAGTGAGTTGTGGGCTCTCTTGTTTGTGAAGAAAGATGTTCAAGGAGTAGGCTTTCCTCTCAAGACTTTGGATCCAACATCTTCTCCTCGGTGCACCATTTCAGGATATAAAGCTTCAACCTTGGCTTATATTGTTATAAATCTAGCTTAAGCTTAAATTTTCTTCTCTTTTGTCCTAAAATCCAGGTCTTTGTGAGTATGAGTTACTCTAAAGCCTTTAAGCCATCTTTTTATACATTTCAGCGCATTTTAAATCATAAAAATGCAAGCTTCAAACTTGGTTTGTCCCATGCAAGAGTTATGGTGTAGAAAAGGTTTAAGGGCAGTTTGTGGCCTTAGGGATCTTATTGAGCTCATATCTAAAATTTGGCCCATGGCATGAAATGATCATATAACTATGATTTGGCCCATAGCATTTATTTTATTTTATGTGTGGTATGTGGTATTTTGGGGGAATTCACTAAACTTTATGCTTATAGTTTATGTTTATAGTTCGAGGTACTTCCAGTTAAAAAGGAAAGGGCCTGACATGATGGAACAATATCCTCCCCTTATGATTTCCACACGTACTATATTTGTACTATGAAGTTTTGAATATTGTAATGATTGACAGTTTTTGGTACAATCAATGAATGAAATTAATAGTTTTAAATGAAGTTTTTTTATTACTATTGGTACAATCAATGAATGAAATTAATAGTTTTAAATGAAATTTTTTTATTACTATTTGTGGGCCGTTACGCATCTGGAACAAGGGTGTTACACTAAAAAATAAAAAAAATCAAAAATGAATTTGGCACGCCAGAAAAACCTAGAAAATGAACAAGAAATTGTTTGTTCTTCAAAATTTATTTGTGAACTAAAAAACCCTGAAAACAAGTATTTAATCGATTTTTATGTGCATTTTTTGTTTCTAGAAATTGATTTGTGCATGTAAATTCATCCCCAAGCAAAAGCAATTGATCATGGTTGAATACATGCTTTTAGAGCCTCCAAGGAAAAACAATCACTCACATATAAGTGAATCTCTAAGCTAGATTACAATCAGCAACTTCAGGTTACAATTACCATAGAGATCCGATTATAGTTTTTCTAAGAATGAGAGATTAAACATAAATGTAACAAAGTGGGTTCAATCAAAGAGTTTGATGCAGAATCAATGTGCTGATGCCCTGCTTATGTTATAGAAGAGTCCAAGTGTTGATACCCTTGGCGGGAAATGGTGACAGGATGGCGATCAGGTTCGGTGAAGCTCCGATTCATGTGAATCCGTTTTCAGTCCTGTGAAGCTCCAAAATCGATACATTTTTCAACGATGAATCCATCTTTATTAGGGGGAAACTGATATATTTTAGGAGTTTAAGAAAAGAAAACAAGAAACACGAAGAAAGATAAATTGATCCAAACCATCTTCATATGGTTAATCCATCTTCATTTGGGGCAAATTAGAGATGAAGATGAGGTTTGGATTAAGATTTAGACTTTGATTGAATTTAGTGTACCCATCATCTCCTTCGTCCCTCAGTTGTTTGTGCTTACCCCTCATACTAAAAAATCGACGACGTCAAGAGAAAAGGAAATGGTTGGTAGTCATTTGGGCCATATAAGACCTGGTTTATAAAAAAAAAGGGACATATTATGGAATTACTAGGTTTTGTAAATGGGGGATTATATGACCCGGTTTAAGGTATGGAACCGGGATATATGACTAAACTAAACAACCCGGTTTCTAATGATACAACTGACACTTTTAGCTGTAAAATCATATGACCCGTTTTTTGTAAATAAAACTGTGTTCTATGGCTATGGGGCATAATGACATATGAATTTTTGATATCCCGCCACCAAGTATTGATATCTAGCCTATCAATTTTATATATTTCGATATCCCGCTATTTGAGTCGGTATACCAGTTCAAAGCTTTTCTTTGCGACAACTACTACTGAAGCATAGAAAGTTAGGAACCACCAAACCCTAATACTCTAAAACAATGTGAATTCGAAGCTTTATCTCCGCTATTTTCACTAGAGGCACACTAATCGATTTCCCCAATACTGATATCAACACTATTGAGGTATAATTTCGTCTAAAACTCATTCTTTATGCATATAAATTTTTGGAATCTATTTAGATGATTTGATTCATCGATCCTCTATTTTGTGTCTAAATCTACACCCAATCATGAGCCAACATACGAGATGGCACACAACGTGTATGAAAAGCTTGAAGTTGAGTTCAATTCAAGAATAAGGGAAAGGTAAAGTTGAATCCACTAATTAAACTATCACGAATTTCATTTTTTTAAACATGGTATACTTCCATGAGTTCAATTATTGGCTATTGGTTCACTAGGTGCTACAAATTTGATCTGCATGGACCCAAATCAACTTTTGTGGGAGACTTAGAAGTCAAGATCACGGAGTGCCTCAGAAACAACCTTGGTAGGCATATCCAGTAGTTTTACGAGGATAAGATTGGTACACTTAGTGACCAACCCTTTATGCATGTTTGGAGTTTATATATTTTTTTCAATCTAAAGGTACATCTATAAATCTCTTCGGTCAATGTGATAACAAAATACTGTTATTATGAAATATGAAATAATTAGATCTATTTACATGAGAACCTAGCATTTATGTTTAAAATGCCTCATCTTAATGAGGAATCACTGCAAGAATATCATGAATTAGAGGTTTGTTATATGGAAACAGGTGCTTTATATAGATGCTATACATTCTATGACTTTTTGCCACCTGTAAAACTTTTTTATTCTCTTGTACCGAATACAGTCATCAATGCAGGAAAACAAAAGGTGTGTGGTGGAATTGACCATGGAGAATTAGATATGATTAACCTGCAATCCTAAACCCTAACAACAAACAATTGTCACAAATTGTTGAAGATGATCCCTTAAAGGAGTTTGAATTTCGACAATACCTAATTGCATCTCAAGCTAAGGTTATTTAAATAATCTTTGATGTGTTTGTTTGTTAATAACTTAATGTGGATTTATTGAATGTTTATTTTCTTTTCACAGCTAAAATGTCGATTTTAGTTTGCATAAAGACGATATTCATTCATAGTTAGCTTTTCGAGAGTGTTTTTCCCTTTTGTATGAGAGAAGTTTATCCCTGAAATCAATTCCCAATGAGATTGAGAAGGCAACATCAAGCATTTAGCCATTACATAAAGTTTTCATCAATAAACTTAGGATTTTGAATTCACACAGAGTCTGATCTTTGGCAAATTGATGGAGATTAGCTACTTTGTCGGTAAATGCATTAGATGTTTTTTTGGAATAGGTAAACGTATTAGATGTTTTTTTAGAATAGGTAAATGTATTAGATGTTTTTTTAGAATAGGTAAATGTATTGGATTATTATTATACATTTATATTTTGAATTCATATTATTAAAGATGTATTTTCTTTTTTACTTTGAGCAGAAAAAAAAGAAGGATTTGTTTTTTAATCTATTGTATTTAAAAAAAAAACTCAAATTCTGTCAGTAAAAGGTAGTAAAAGGTATTGAGTTTATAGATTTGGAATAAAATATTAACAAAAAATGTAAAAATAGTTAAAAGATCAGGTTGTATATATTATGAAAAGGTATGAAAACAAACAAGCTTTGGAATAATAGAACAGGAGAACCGGACTACATGGTGACAAGAAAATGCTTCTGCTTAGCGTGGAAGTAGGGATGAGCATTTTTTCCCAAAATCCCGATCCTATATCGGAACCGATACTAGTACCAAAAACCGGTACCATTCCCGGTACTGATACCGGTGATGTTAATTCGGTTCGGTAATCGGGATTGATTTTTGACCAAATTCGGTTTTTGAGAAATCGGGAACGGTACGGGTCGGTACCGGTTCTGTCCCACGCTCATCCCTATGTGGAAGGACCCATTTTTATACGTAAGAACCGGGGTATATTACATTAATAAGTCCCGATTTTTTAACCGGGTTCTATAACCTTTTTCACAAAGGACTCGCCCCATAAACGACCTGGTTGAAAACCGGGTTCTTTTAATCTTTTAACCGGGTTTTTTAACACATTTTGTTGTAGTGAGTGGTTGGTTTCGTCAGTGTCAAGCAGTTGTGAGGTATTGTCAACAATAATGGTTTTCTAGGGTTTTAGTGTTGTTTACAGGAATAAAAAAGTGGAAAGAAAAGTGGGTATACGATTCTGGTCTCTTGAGAGTAGACCTGACAATTGCAGACACGAATATACGAATCCGTGAAAGACACGACACGACACAAATATACGACACAAATTCCTTTTGAAATTTGAGATAAAGCTTATTTCACATTATGTAATCATATCATGTCAAATTCGTAGGTGACACGTTTTCATTATACGAATACACGAATTGCCAGGTCTATGAGAGAGAGAGATGTCATATTTATTATTAATAAATCTTTAAATTAAATAGAAAAAATATATAAAAAAAATATCAAAATGACATTTTAGTCTTTTCAATTTACTAAGAGGCCGAAACCACGATCAAAGTTGCTCACAAAAACCATTGATCCAAAAAAATTATGATTTGAACTAAATGAATACCACATTTACCATTTTTAGAGTTTTGTCTTTGTTTTACTAAAAACAAACTTGTGTATTACACGAGTTTATTAAAAATAAAAAATTTAATATCAATATTTAAACATTAAACATTTTATAAAATAATTGAAAAAAGAAAGTAAATCAATAGATTTATAACATTTATGTAAATTTATTTTCAAATTAATAAAATTATAATATTATATGAAAATACAATGAAAATCTCAAAAAATGATAAATGGAAAATTTTAAAAAAAAAAAAAAAAACAAAAAAGATCGTGTGACAAAATGAAAAAGAAAATATTTATTTATTATAGAATATTAGAGAAATACTCACCGCTCCTATTGTCTATGTAGCTATTACCTTTTTATGAATATGGTTCATTAGTTTTAAATTTATGTCTTTTCCATCCTTTAGACTACTTTTAGTCGCGTTCTAGTCCCCCACTTCAGCAAATCCGTCGCTATTCGCTCCATTCTGTGGCCTCCAAGTTGACCCCTGCCCTTCTTTGTGGCCCTCTTCGTTGACCGCCGCGGACTCCATCGCCCCCCTCCTCCTTGTTTGCGCCACCGAGAGCATGGCGTTTCTACAATGACCCAATACAATGAGGCATCAGGCAAACATTCTTTAACAATACAAATCAGTATCACATATTTGATTTTTAATTCTAATCATGGGTCCTATTTTGTTTTGGTACTGCCATCAATTGATTTTTTCTCAATCTTATCGGGTTTAATTGCTTTTTGATTTTGTTTCTTCCGCGTCATTTTTTTTTTCTGAATTCTTTTTAGCGATTTTTAGTATCTGGTGCAGGAATCAGGATGGGGGTGTGGATTAAGTCGTGGAGTTATTTCTTGGAGCCGGTGTGGTTACAGTCAGTGGTACGAGAATACAATAAAGACAAGTTGTGGTTATGTTATGCAATTTTCGTATTCTTACAGTTCAACACATATCAACGCATGATCAAATAGCTAATATCTTCACAAAGCCACTGCCAACTCCAAGATTTGTATCTCTTTGATCCGAGCTGCAGGTTATTCCCCATCCTTAGCATGCAGGGGCGTATTAGACATAATTACAATAATATAGACTAGAGGGTCTTTATATGTAATTGTTAGTATATATATATATATATATATATATATATATATATATATATATATATATACCCCTAATACGTTTAATCAATACAATATATAATTCTCGGCTCTTCACCCACCCACACATACTTGCAGGTGAACAATGTTCTTGTCTTCTGATTACACATACCTTTTTTTCCTTCTCATGTTCATTTGTTTCTCCACACAGGTTGCTTGTCTTCTTTGTTAAACCATATCTTTAATTCAGCACACAAGCTTTCCTTCAACTCACACAGATCGGTCTTGAAACTCTATCACACAGAATCCTGGTTTTGAACTCGGCTCACGTAGAGCGTTGATAAGCTCATACAGAGCTCTGTGGGTCACATAGAACCTCTGATGATCCCACGAGCCTAGGGCTCTGATACCAAATGTAGGTTCAGCCCCTACAACTTGTGAACAGATAAGAAAAAAACAAACATGTATGTTATGACACTGATGTACACGAGAAGAAAAAAGAAAGAACAGATGAAGGCTTGTCTTGTTTTTATTCCATGTATGTTATGAAGCTGATGTACACGAGAAGAAAAAAGAAAGAACAGATAAAGGCTTGTCTTGTTTTTATTCTGGACTTATAAGCAACTATTTTAATCAAAAGCAAATGGCTATAAATAGCCTACAAAACCCAACTGAAATAAAAAATTCCAAGCTAAAAACTAGTCACTACTTTTAAAGAATAGAACACTCTCATGACCTTGTACACCAACTTCCTTGTCGGTATTGACCTTGATTGAATTTACCACGCTTGGTTCTCTCTTCCAATCCTCTTTTGACAATAAAATCTTGTTTTGATTTTGATCATTATCACCTTCATCAAGAGCTTTAGTTCTCTCTTCAAATGCCTTCAACCTCCCCACAACTTCCCCATGTAACATGTTCTCTATCTTCGATAGATCCAACAATTTACAATAATTTCTTAGGAACCGAATTTAGAAACATTTTTACGACTGTGTCATCTTCCAAGCTAGACCCAAGAATCTTGAATTTTTAACAATCTCATTAAGTTTTCCCAAAAACTCATCAATCGTGTTACCCTCTTTCATATTCAACATATCTAGCTCGGTTCTAAGTGTTTGATCTCTTGCTTTTTGAACTCTTTCATCTTCCAAATACCGCACATGAAGAGTTTCGCACACATGTTTTGCATCCTTATTCTTAACCACTTGAAGCAATATATCTTTAGGTAGAGTTTGAAACACAAATAATCTTGCTATTAGATTTTTCATTGCCTCAACTGCTCTTCCCGTTCCGGATCAACCGCTTCCCATAAAACATAAGCCTGTAGGATCATCGACTCCACCATAATCGACCAACTTGTAGAGCTTGTAGCTGTTAACTTGGGGCATTGCAATGGGATACTTTGGCTGGTCAAAGGTACAACCTGACTTGATCCACCTGGATTTGTTGCTGGCATTGTCCATAACTTGATTCTTTCTTCTCGTAAAGTACCAACGGATCACACAGATCTAGGTGATTTTAGATCTTCTTTTCTTTCTTTAACCCACCCACCCACACTTGCAGGTGAACAATGTTCTCGTCTTTTGATCAAACTTATCCTTTTTTTTCTTCTCATGTTGATTTGTTTCTCCATATACAGATTAGCTTCACCACACATGCTGATTATCTTCTTGGTTCACCCAGAATCTTGATTCAGCACACAACCTTTCCTTCAACTCACACATATCGGTCTTCAAACTCTATCACACATATTCTGATGATCCCACCAGCCTAGGGCTCTGATACCAAATGTTGGTTCTGCCCCTACAACTCGTAAACAAATAAGAAAGAAACAAACATGTATGTTATGAAGCTGCTGTACACAAGAAGAAAAAAGAAAAACAGATGGAGTCTTTTCTTGTTTTTATTCTGGACTCAAAAGAAACTATATTATTCAAAAGCACACGGCTATAAATAGCCTACGAAACCTAAAAGAAATAAACAATACCAACCTAAAAACTAGTCACTACTCCTAAAGAATAGGATACTCCCATGACCCAATACACCTATTTTCACATCCATTGTACTCATTCACACACCCTTTCATGACCTTTTATTCAATTATAGATACAGTAAACAAAAACTAACCTTTTACCTATAATCCAAAATATCCGATGTCAAGATTACCCAACAGTATGAGTTACAAGTCCATACATTTAAAATCCTAAAAGAGTCAATAGTTTGACTCGGTCAAAAACCATGAGTTGCTGCTTGACTCATACGTAGTCGAATTAAGTCCTCAAAATGGTTTTTTAAAGAACCTAATGTTTGATTCAAGCAATGCTAATCACTTCATTAAGCATTAGCTTCTCCTGCTACTTCAACTTCTCTTTTTCAGTTTGGAATTTGGTTTTCACATTTCCTTAATCTCAATTTATTCTTCTACCTGCCACGTTTTGTTCGTCCACATGCCCTTCCAAAGGTAGGTAGCTAGGGGAAGGATTCTATTTTGACTACGGGTGAGAAAAAGACATACATAGGAGAAAAAATACTTAGAAAACTGAATGAGAAGAGTTTAAAGGCTAGAGGCCATGCATAACTTGGAATAAAATAAAATAGATTGGTGGTAGAAAATGTGTTTTTTTATGGAAACCTATAGGCAACCTAATTTGTAAATAAGTAAAGTGGCTGCAGGAGTTTCTTGGAATTGTTGACATAACAAAAATATAAGGTTTTTGTTGTATTTTAAATAAAAGTTAAGTTTTTTATAGACTAAGTTAAGTGGGTGACAAGTATTTATTTATCTACAATTTTAACTAATATATTACTGTAACCTGTCATGTTGTTTAGATTCTTGCAAAACCACATCAATACTCATGTTTGATGGACTTTTATTATACATTGGTGGCTCTGGTCTTATTATACATAAAAGTTTTGATCTTACACATCAGATAGTTATATGGTTTGAATTGCAAGTATGATGTAATTTTTATGTGAAACTTATCTTAAGAATACCTAATGTTAATATGATACATATATTCATAAACACATACATCCATACATGATACATACATATAGAAACACATACATGCATTCATCCATCGATTCATCCACACATTCATTCATATATACATAGATATTATTTGGATGTCTAGATAGATTAAATCACCAAATCTTGTATGTTAGTTTTTTGGATTGTGTTTTGTGGTTCTTACGAAAATCATTTTTCAGGCGAGAGACAAAGTTTATTGAAGAAGTTGTAAAGGACATCTATCGTACATTACGTATATCCTCAAGGATTCCTCTACCAAAACTTATTGGGATGGACTATTCCAAGGAATTCCTCACTTCATGGTTGAAAGATTCATCCTCACATAAGGCAGACATAGTCACTATTATGGGTATGGGCGGGATTGGGAAGACAACTTTAGCAAAATATGTCTATGGGTTACATTCTCATGAATTCGCCACAAGCAGCTTTATTGAGGATATTAGTAGGCCCTCTAACAAAAGATCAGGTGGGTTGCTTGCCTTACAAAAACAACTTTATGATGATATTTCAACATCAAAATCAAGTTCAACTCAAGTTCATGATGTTTTTACATACATCTCAATGATAGAGAATGTAGTAGCCCGTAAAAAGGTATTTATAGTTCTAGATGATATTGATCGTCTCGAACAGTTGGATGCATTACTCGGAAGCAAAGGTTTCCATACAGGAAGCAAAATAATAATAACAACAAAGGATGCATGGTTGATACAGAGTTGTGCGATGTTCAAAACAAACCTTAAACCCAAGCATGAAAAGCATTTGCTTAATGGCTTATATGAGATCGAATCAAGGGAACTTTTGTGCTTTCATGCATTCATCTGCAACTATCCCAAGGTAGGTTTTGAAGAGGTGTTAGAAAAGCTTGTGAAGTATTGTGAAGGGCATCCGTTGGCTCTTGAAGTTTTAGGCAAGTCTCTACATAATCGAGATGTAGCTTATTGGGAAGGGTATATAGAAGGCCTGAAGAAAGAGATGGGTTCCAATATCAATAATGTCCTGAGAATGAGTTTTGACACTTTATCATCCAATGATAAAGAATTATTTAAGCATATTGCTTGTTTCTTTGTTGGAATGGATAGAGATGTTACTCAAACAATATTAAAGGCGTGTGACATCGAAACAAGATCCGGAATCACCAATCTCACTGACCGATGTCTTCTTAGTATCGGATGGAGTAACAAACTAATGATGCATCAGTTGCTTCAAGAAATGGGAAAATTCGAAGTACATAAAGAATCACCTCAAAAGCCATGGGAACAAAGCAGATTATGGTGTCATGAGGAATCTTTCAAAGTGTTAAAACAAAAAAAGGTATGAGACCATATATATACTTGTTTAAAATATTCTTTCTTGTTTATATTCATGCTTATAATGCGTAATTCTTTTTGTGTCCCCTTATTCTTAGGGTACAGAAAATGTTCTAGGCCTCACTCTTGACATGAGAATGCTTGAAAAAGAGAAGTTATGTGGACCATTTGAGGTGAAAACAGATGCATTGAGCATGATGGACAATCTAATGCTACTACAACTCAATTATGTGCAAATCAGAGGGTCTTATGAGAATTTTCCAGAACAATTAAGATGGCTGGTGATGCATGGGTTTCCTTTAAAGTCTATTCCATCAAAACTGCCAATGAAGAATTTGGTTTCTCTTGACATGTCATACAGCAATATTGAATCATTTGGCGTTTGTTATAGCAATACACAACGACTTCAGAATTGGCAAAAGGTAACTAATATCCATTTATTATTCGTCCATGCTCAGTTGATGAAAATTACTAGAATTCTAACTTATATCCAATTCAGTGGTTATTTGAATCGTGCTCAAAAGACAAAAGGCTGCTTGGAACACTGAAGATTCTTAATTTAAGTTTCTGTGAAAAGCTTTCTAGTCTAGGAGGATTTGAAGAACTCCCTTTGCTTGAGAAGCTAATAGTTACAAATTGCATTGGTTTGGTTAAAGTATGTGAATCAATTGAGGCATGTGTTAAACTTGTTCTCATTGACCTGCGGTACTGCAGCAAACTTGAAAAACTTCCAAAAACCATAGGCATGTTAAAGAAGGTGAAAACTTTATTGCTAGATGGTTGTAATCTGTGTGAATCTCATATCGAGATTAGGAATACAGATTCATTGAAAATGCTCAAGGGTAACAGTATTGGCATAAACACAAAAACCTCTTCCTCTTCCGTTCTTGAAGCTATACCAAGTTATCGAAAGTTCTTTGCGACTTTTATACCAATATCTTTAGCATGCTTGTCACTTGTAAGTAATAATTTTTCAACTGAATCCTTTCCCGTTGACTTTAGTCGGCTATCTATGTTAAAGGATTTATATTTAGATGATAATCCTATTGTTTCCCTGCCAAATTGTGTGAAAAGCCTTCCTAGGCTAGAGAGACTTGATATGAGAAACTGTCTATCTCTTAGTTCACTTGAGCATCTTCAATATCCACCAAGAGAGTTGATCATCTATTTTGATTACAAGCCTTTGCCATAAAAAACTATATTTGATCTAGAAAAGTCCACACCTGATTTCACAATAGACTGGGAATCGTTAGAACCATCTTCATTTGAGTTCGAAGGTGTGATCAAAATCCAACCAATGGCAGGTGTAGCGGAAAGGGTGTTAGGTAGTTTGGGGTGGACTAATTTAGACTTCCTTAATGGAAGGCAAGTCCGAACTAATTTTTATTTCAGAGAATCAGAAGAATCTCAAATCCAGGTTTCCTCTAGTAAACATTAAGTCTTTAGCCACCTGTTGTGAATATGTGTATTAATGATATGGTGATTAATTTAGGTGGTTGTATTTGGCAGATGTATTATGAATTTGGCATATTCAGCACAATTTATGGGGGGGAAACAGATGCCGAATTGGATTCATTGTAGAAGCAAGGGGCCATCAATATCATTTACCATTCCATCATCTCCTTACAACTTCAGAGGATTGAATTTCTGCTATGTGCCGGGTTATCTATTTCCAAATCAGTTTGTTGATTTACCAATAATCAAAGTTAGTAATTTAACAAAGAATGGCACCTGGATATACAGACATTACATTGATGGTGCGAGTGTAGGTGGACAGGCACGGTCCCTGACATTGTTAAGCCATTGGATGTTTGGGATGAATGAGATGGAAGCTGGTGACCATGTTACTATTACAGTTACAGAGACCTATAATCAACTTACAAAGGAGTGTGGGGTGAGTTTAGTGTATGATGATGGAAACATGGATGAAGATGAAGATGGAGATAAAGGTGAAGATGAAGAGGAAGATGTGTTAGGTTATTACAAGTCATGGAATCACATCATTGGTGGAGATCTCACTGGATTTCAGTTAACATCCGGTGAATACATCCTAGATGCCTGGCAATTTATGCGGAATTCCGCTGAACTAAGAGTAGATCGCTATCATCCCTTCATTACAGGTGGTGCCAGCTTTAAAGGTAGAGATCCTTCTTCTTAGTTATATATTCTTTTATCATGTGTTATGTAGTACAATTCATTTAGTATTTGTTTCCAAACATATTTAACAATATCAATAATTAAGTTGTTAAAACAAGTTCCTCCACCAGCAATATATATGCTACAACTAGGGTTGTCAATGTCGGCCATGGGATTTTAATTGATTAAGCAAGATCTAATTGGAAGTATGGTTCAACTTCATTAGATAGTTAATTAAGTAGATCATGACCAAATCGACCCGTTTATGTTGATTTGATTTATTGACCTCAAAAATAAGAGTTTTCTCTTCTAAAGTATGACTATAGAAGCTCTAGTCTTGATTTGTAAACGGATCTACCCCAGATGGATGATGGACAGATCCAAGTATCGGTCCATCTAAATGGTCCATTTAATTTGTTGGATCAGTTGGCCAGGCTTCTATATGTTCGATCACATAAATATATTGGATTGGATCTAGATCAAAACCCACCATATTGAGAATCCTAGCTACAACTACCTCGTCAAAGCGGATATATGTGAATGATAATAAACTTATTATTTTTTATCTGCATGCAACAGAAGACGAAGTGCGCTTTAGAGCTTTAGCGCGAAGGAAGTACCACCTACTTGGCCATCACTCATGAATGTGAGGTATAATCTCTGACACCAAAAGCTTTTCTCAATAGATAAATTAAAGGCACATATACAACCAAACATGTTATCATAAAAGTTCTTAACTGATCCAGAGGAGTTATAACCTTGCAACGGTTGCTTGCAAATAACAACATGAAAACGTGAACACGTGCTCCTCGGTCCTCAGCTCTTCACATTCAAATAGCAAAGAAGAATGAGCGGTCCACGCAAAGGTCTCAGCGTACACACATTCATGAAAATGTAAAGGACGCCTTCGTTTGCGGTTTTGAATTAAATATTTTTTTATCTTCTAACAGTACTTTGGGGTTTTTTTAGATTTTAGTATGGGCTAAATACTGTTAAGTTTTGTCAATCATGTGATACTTTTGGTGATTACAATATTGGTTACTTTAGTTGTTTTTGAATTTAGAAATTTTTGGTATCTATAGAAAAAATAGAAGAGTTGTTCTAACAAAGTTTTTTTTTTTGAACTTTGAAACTAATATTTATAGTCATGACTTGTCTGTCTCTCTGCAGAGAAAGTTTTCGATATAGTTTATAAATAAGGACAGGGAACCTTCCAGATACACATATTCGAAAGCATTGAAACTTAATACTAAACATTCAAATTCAATACAAAGCTACACAAAGTTATAATACAAAACATTATACGTAGAATATCATATCATTCAAAGTTTAATACGAAACTGATTCTCGACCTTGAAAACTTCCAGATCATCATCCTCGTTATTCTTTTGTTAATACGCATCGTGTTCACCTTGAACCAAGTCGTTTTGGAAGTGCATCAATGGTGGGAGCCGCACGGCTGTTAATATATTATCATTCAATGAAAAGCTAGTTGGTAAAAGGTCAGTTAGTCAATGTCAATAGTTAGTTAGCTAATATTGTTACATTCAGCTTATGTTAGCAATAATGGTGCATCTTTAGTCTTGTATATATACAGAGCTTTTAATCGACATTGTAAATAATGAAGATAAACAACATTCTCTCATTTCTCTAATATGGTATAAGAGCAGGTGCTTCTGATTTGTGCATATTTTTCATTCCATCATTCCTGATTTCATCATACTTCAATTCTGGCTCTGTCTCAATCTCATTCATGATTCATATATGGAATTCTTGTTCTTCAATTTCCAATTCGATTCCTCATTTGATTTTTTTTGGTCAATCTAATTTTCTCGATCTAAAATTTCAGATTTGATTTCTCTTTTACTGTTTTGTTCTTTCTTGATCTTTGATTTTTAAATTCCTGAATTGTTGTTTCATGATTCTTAAACTGCCGAATTCTACAAATTTTGCATCCAATTCACAAGTTGATGGCATTTCAGTTGATGATACTTATTTTCTGCATCATTCCAATAGTCTTGGTTTAGTACTCGTTTCACGGGTGCTCATAGGGGATAACAATGTGTCATGCAGCAGAGTTATGCTCATTTCGTTCTCTGTAAAAACAAAAAAAAAAAAAAAAAAAACAAGGTTGATTTCATAAATGGATCATTTCTAATCGATTTTCTAATGATTAAACTCATCTTAAATCGTAGTAAATAAACAATAATGTTGGTATTTAATGGATTCTCAACTCAGTCTCAAAGGAGATCTCACCAAGCATCGTCTTTTTGGAATCTGCTCATTATATATGGAAGGAATTGAAGGACTGATTTCGGCCAAGCAATGGTCCTCAGAATCTTCAAAATCAAAAGAGATCTTATGAATTTTATGTAAGAACGTGATTCTGTAAGTAATTACTTCACAAAACTAAAGGTCATTTAGGATGAAGTGTCAAATTTTAATGTTCATTATACTTGTGGACTTTGTACTTGTGGTGCGGCAAAGGAAGCTGACCAAACTAAGAGTTTCTTGATGGGGCTTAATGACACATTTTCTCAATTTCTAGGCCAAATACTCTTAATGGATCCAATTCCACCTGTTAATAAAGTCTTCTTACTCATCATATAAGAAGAACAACAGAGGAATATGTGTGGTGATTTTAATGTTATCAAAATATATTAGTGTAGTTATTCTTAATATTGAGATATGTTGAGTTTATTTACTCACAGAGACCGGAGTTGAATAGTGCACATTCGGAGTAATAAATATAAACTCGGGAATACAGGGGTCCGAGAGCAGCGACCTTGGCAGGGTCTAGGGGCAATGCCCCTTGTGGGGGTCTAAGGGGCAGAGCCGGTGGTGGTGGTTCTTCTATCTCTCAAAACAAGTGGTGAAATCATTGTGATGTAGGAATCGGTTGTGTCCTATAACAACCTTTCAAGCTACCTACCGGGGTTGGCACCAAAATGGATGTAACCACCATTTAACCACTTTCTCTCATGTATAAGAGCACAGTGAATGTTCCATAAATGGATTAGATTCTCTATACTCAAAAAGTGATCATCTAATTCTGTCCATCTCTCAAAAAACAAAATAGCAAGGTACTTTCTATGTTTCGAATTTGGAAGTGGCCTAATTTCTAAATTGTCATTCTTTGGCTATCCCAAATCAGATTTCGTAATACCCCAAGCAAAAGGGTCGAAATCACATATTTTGGAAAGTGATTGCAATCACAATTCAAGTATTATCCGAGTACATATTGATATTCTTAGACCCAAAATTTAATACTCAAAATCTATGATTCTTGATGAATATTAATGGTAGAATTTGTTAACGACATGAGTTCCAAATTCGGGAAACTAGACAAGTTTGAGGGAAATGATTTTCGTTATTGGCAAAAGAAGATGCATTTCATTCTCACCACATTGAAGGTTGTTCACATTTTAAACACTCCTACACGAGAACCAATGGAGTATGAAACCATTGAACCTACCAGAAGAAGATGCAAGTGAGACAATGATGATTATATATGTCGTGACCACATTTTGAATGATATCTCTGGCTCTTTCTTTGATCTATATCAAAATCACGAATCTGCAAAAGATCTTTGGGATGCACTTGAATCCAAATACATGGCAGGGGATGCTTCTAGCAAGAAATTCCATGTGAGTAATTTCAATAATTACAAAATGGTGGATTAAGGCCTATCATGGAACAATAAATGAACTATGAGATTTTTGGGACAGTTTGAACAACACAAAATACAAATGGATGAATCCATTTCGTTTTATAGTGTCACTGAAAATTTCTCCCTATCTTGGAAAGTTTTGAAGCACACTCTGAAACACCAACTTTATAGTCATTTGAGAATTGATGAACTTCTTCGGGATAAAGAAATTGGCAAAGGAAATGAAAAAGAAGTTCCGGGATCTTTTGTGAATATGGTGGGTGATGATAAACATTAGAGAAAATAATAAAGGGAAAAAGGAAGAAGAAAGATGATCATCATAAAGGTTCAAACAAGAAAGTAAAAGTTGCATGTTGCAATTGCAACAAACTTGGTCACATGAAATGTTATTTTCGTTCGAGGAAGAGCAAGAATGGTGCAAACAATTATAGACAAGGATCTCATGATGAAGGATAGAATTTCATTTCTAAAAATACTATTATTATTATATATCATGTAACACTAATTCCTGAATTATTTTATGTTTAGGATGATGATCATGCACGGTGGATAGACTCGGGACGACGAGTCATGTATTTAAATATCGCTCTTGGTTCAAGGATTATGAAGTAGTACATGTTTTGGTCAAAAACTAATCAAGTAATATTCAACTAAATTGTATGAGAGGCTGTGGTGTTTGAGGTAATGAAAGTATAAGATATTGATCAAAGTGAGACAAGTGAGTTACAAGGAAAGCCCTTGATCCTTTTTAGGATCTCCAACATAAAACCTTGGAAGCTGATAATGATCACATGCCTTGTTGTTTTTATTTATTTCAATGTGAGGTTATAGAAATGATCATGATAATATGAGTAAGAATGTAGTAATAGGGCTAATCATGTATGTAGTGTGTGTATTATAGGTGTATTTATAGTCTACACTAATTAACAATAAGTCAGATATTAATTTCCAGGATCCTCTTGAATGGGCATCAACATGTTGTTTGAATTTTGAACCCTAGTAGATAAAATTTATCCATTCCATGATCATCATTACGCAGTCAAATCGTCTTCTCTCTCCTCTATCACCAGAATAAATAGGGTAATCAGATCAAGATTTTCTTTACCTTCCCCACCTTTTCTCTTGATCATCTCTAGTTATTTTCAAATGTAATTTCTTTCTTCCTTTCTTCCTTTCTTTTACTTCTTTTCTGATCATGGGAAAGAAAATTGCTCGCTCTCTGCTAGCATACTTCCTCCTTCCAATGATGATTTCACTTATCAAAAGTTACTGGCTCATGATGAGTCATGCTCTTTTGACAATGAGGATATTCAATCTTAAAAGAATAAAGGTGCTTTTCCTAATTGTGTTGT